CCTAAATCTCATTATAGAGCAATTTTAAATACCACTCTAAGTCGGATTTTTGATAAATTGAATAGAGTCGCTCATATCAAGTTTGGATCATTAAGACTACCATATTATATTTTAGAAGTAATTAATATTGTGACAATATGTATAAATGTAATGATTTCAAGCACATAAAGTCCCTAACCAGATCACAGATAATTAATTCAACTATACCAATGGGTCATTATCCTGTTCTATGTCATAGCCAACATCTTCTGGTCGTATTCTAATGAATGATTCTATGGTTTTATGCACTGCATTAGACCAAGGATATGACTGAATGACAAATGAAGCTGGATCTTTCCACGCTGCTCTTTTTCCGTACAATCTAATGCCTTCACGAACTATGTCCATTACATATGGAACCAAAGAATAGTTCCATAAATCTGAAAACCACATTTGAGATGTTTCTAAATCCATTGGACACGAAACAAACAAAATAGGTCCTAAAACATGAAAAACAATTAGAAGTATGAACTTAACTTGTAAAAATAAAATAATCTGATTTAGTGAAAATTACCTAATGTAACTTCAGACGAACTATGAATCTCAAGCAATTGATTCAAATGATTTCTGACTTCMGGGATCCATTCCACAATTCGTTTTAGCTGCGCGTTTCTTTGTCCAATTCGACATTCATGTTCTACAAGTTTACGCCTCAAATGACGACCAAGGAATCCTTTCATTGGTTCCATGTGGTTGGCACAAAGGACCCATCTRAAGTTGTGATGTAATTGAAGACTAGTTGTTGAACATGTTGACTGATTAATAGTTCCTATTATATATGGACATTTTGGACTTTGAAAACCATTGAACACATCTGGTAAAGACAACGCTTTATGTAAATTGTCTAAGATCACAACACATGGAATTTGGGAAGAGTCACTATCAGCTTGATCAGATATTTTGGACAGATATTGTTGTAAATCTTTATTATTTTTCTCATCAACGCTAAAAAAATATTAAATATATAATATGATGTATATTAAAAAATGTTCAATATATTTGAAACGCTGCACTAAAAGTACTAACCTGAATGTAACAATAGTTGAAGAATTACATTCTTTTCCCATTTTCATAACTAGGAACTCGGAAAGTTTATTCGATAAATAAGACTTGCCAGTACCGCTAGGTCCACATAAWATTATTCTATGATGTTCACTTAATAAAGAAACATACCTAAAAATATAAAGAAAAATAGGAAATTATTTTGTTATTCTGAAAGTGTTTACAACTTAACAGAATAATTATTAAATAGATAAAAAGTTGTCTTTGAATTCCAATAAATAATGCTAAAACATATCATAATTTAAGTCTTATGTAGTAAATGAATGAAGAAAAATTTCTTTATATGTGAGTATTTTTTTTAAATGTTTAATGTATTAAATTAATTCAATGCAATTAGTACCTTTGGAGAATACTTTTTGGTATGAGAGTATCGAACGCTAAAGCGTCTAAACTTCCCGAATGCATGGCACCTTTGAGACAAATAGAAATATTTGAACCATTCATCATACATTCATAAGGGGACTTATCAGGAGGCTTATATTCTTTTGTATTTGATATATATCGTATTATATCATCGATGTGGTAGCTCCATATTGAGTCAACACAAAGTCCCAATTTGGTCATTGGATCAATTCGTTCCACATAATCCTTAAAAGAGTGAAAATGTTCAAAGTTTAGAATTTTATTAAAGAATTCAAAAAGGAGGAACTATTATTRGTAATAAAAATAAAATTCTTACTTTGAATCCTTTAACAACAAGGTGGTCAACCATATCCCATTTTGATTTTGGTGAAATAGGTAATGCAGATATTATGCATGTTTTAGTCTTATTTTCTTTATATTTGTTATAACTACCATGACTACCAAGGAACACGTTAAGTTGGACCAACATAGCATCTGAATCTAATGAGGGCAATAACGCTTCTGTCCCTTCATCACCTAATAAAAAATATATATTGTATTTTAAAAAATAACAAGTTTTAAAAATTAATAGGTGAAAAATTTACTTTGAGTGTGATTTGATACTGGTGGAGACTGTAGAGAACTACAACTAGACTGAAGGGATTGATTTGTTACAATTTTTTGCAATCTCTCATTGTCTTGTTTCAAGTTCAACATTTCATCCTATAAAAATGATTTCAATATT